ATTATAACAACTATTTACTAATAAAAAATAAATATTAATCTTGAATATAAGCCTACGAAGTATCTCTCTTTCTCTCCCTTACAAACAAATAAAATAAACTGTGTTTTTAAGTTCCACCTTTGAAAATTTGATTTCCGGAAACTTTTGTGATCAATGATTTTTTGAAATGTCTGAACCTTCGATCACCGGAAACTTCCGGATGACGGTTAGCGAAAAATACGGAAATCCGGATTTTTTCCGGATCACAATCAGCCCTGTTAATCAAATAATTTTAAAGCATAGTTTCGATAATATCAAACCAAAAAGACAAAATAAGTAGTGCAATACTATTATAAATTAATTTATTATATTATTTTAAAGTTCAAAATCGTGAAAAAAAAATATGAATGAAAAATATAAAATGTGAATTTTCAAAAAATTTAATAACTATAGTTTTGTATAGGCTGATTAAATATCTATCCCCTATACTGTGTTCAGGTGAGGCAGCATTTTGTTTATACATTATTCTGGCCTAAGGATTTTGTCCTTTAATACTCCAGTTGAGACTACCCATTCAGGATGCATAGCCAAATCTTTCAACAAAAAAGAAGCAATTTTTAAGTATTTTCTAAGAACTCAAAAAATCTTTTTAAGAACTATGTACATTAACAAAATGCAAAATAATTTTGAATGACTTTATATGATCACAATAAAATAACTAGTTTCTGACAAAGAACTCTTTTCTCGATTATATTATATAAGCCAACATATCAAAAGATTTTTTGATTCGATTTCAGAGAGTTGAAAATGAAGCCTGAACTTGTGAATATCTAGCTAAATACACGAGAGTGCTAGAATCACACCGAACCCAGTAGGCGCACATGCAGACTCGCAAGTATTTCATCATGTAAAATGGATGGCACTGAATGGATCGTGGTTGAATGAATTGTGAAAACATTGAAAAGAGCAATATGAAAACCATGCTTTTGCACAATATGTGGCAAAAAACGACAATTTCATTTGTGAAAAGGGAATATTAAGCACTTTTTAAAAAAGCCTAATGAAAAAAAGGCACCTTTAAGGGCTTTTAAAAAACGAAAACAGAAAATAAGCACCTTTAAGCACTTCTTAAAAACACCATGCCATTATTATTCCGAAATGATGTGTGAGGGAGAGAATCACTGTTACAATTTTGCCCATTTGTGAACGGAGAGTTTTATTTAACAAAAAATTATTTCTTACCTGAATATTATTAACTCTTTTTCCATTAACGTAAATTGGATAGGCAACAAAGTTGCTGTACTTGTTAATGACACCTGAAAAGAAAGGTTTATTTATTTATTTAGCAAACTCTAGTAAATAATTTATGCCAACATTTTTTTTTTTTTAATTTGAGCTGCCAATTTTAAAAACATTTTATACAGCTTAGTATGGTCAGAAGCATATTTAATTAAAAAAGAAAGACATGAAGAAATTATTCTCCTTTTTTTCAAGGCCTTCTTTCACAATCTCTCCCAATGGAACATTTTTGAAAACTGAGTAATTTTAGATATTTTCCTTCTTAAAATTTACTGAAATAGTTCCATTTATTTTTGTCATAGGAATAAAATATGCAATTAGATAAAGAAAATATCATTTAATAGTAAAAGCTAGTGTTATGTTCTGAGACTAAACTCATACCTGCCACCTCTTATTATTCAGATGATTCACAATAAAATAAATAAGAGAGAAATTACTAAAAATGCACATTGCGCTTTCAATTTTAATAAATTAATCAAGGAATCAACAGTACAATTAAGTCTGCGAGAACAAAACAGTCAAGAAATTTGAGAAGTAATATTCAAAACTGATAAGTAAATTGTGAAAATAAAAATGGAGAAAAGCTGTTTAAAAAAAATCAGCAAATAATCAAATCAACACACTAAACACAAAGTGATTGTCCTCAAAAGATGAAAAAAAAAGTTCTTATTCCACAGAAGGGATCAGATGTCAAAGAGAATACAAAAATTTCTGGGCCAGAATACACCTTGTAGACCATGGGCAGAGAGCAGCACGAATGTAAATAACAATAAAAGAACTGAATTATTATCCTAGATCAATATACATGTTCCAGTAGTTAATTTTTTGGGAGCGATTAAGTGATTTAATCTAGTAGGGCAAATCTTTCAATTTTCCACAAAGACTTTCAGAGTCTGTAAAAGGGGAAATACTTAACATTAAATGAGATACTTTTATGAATCAACTAAAAAAGTCCTGGGGATGCTCAGGGGGTCCACGGATCACTGCCAAAGAACCGCTAATCTAAGATAAACATTGAAAACCCAAGGTCTTCTCATAACATTTTAAGATGCTTTTTCATTTCTAAAGAAATTCCAAGGAATGTGTATACATCATATTTATGGACAAACTATTTTCGCAATGAATTTAAACAACACCAGTTCAATCACCAATCTGTAACAAATGATTGGTTCAATGACTTTGAGATTTTGTCATCAGATAATCAGTGAGGGATTTTCGAACAAAATTAAATTACTACATTGACCATTAAGTTTCTGAATACACAACATAAGACACAATTTATCTCATGCTGTATGTTCTACTGCAATAAATTTTGTATTTTACGTGATTTAGATAATTCCTAACAATATTTTTATACAATAGAAATTAATAAATTTAAAAAATGTAGAATGATTTTATAGTTGGAAAACTATACTTTTAATCTCATCTTCATCGGCAAATTTTCTTTCATTACCACTTTTAATGTATGCAACAACTTTTGTTCCTGGCTGCACATTTTCAGCTTCCATTATTTCATATGAGCCAGATCTTTAAAAAAAAGTGATAAGTCATTAACAAAATGCTCATAATGAAAAAAAAAAACCTAAAATTAACATTAATACTGTGTTATTACATTTAGCATCAATATACCACATTTGAAATATTGGTTTAGTATAGTTGCTTTAAATAATTACGGAATTGATAAAAAAAATTATGACATTTTCACAACATAAAAATGTATTGATAAATTTTAAAATACTTTATAATTTTTTTACTTTTCAGGTTTAACGTCCTGAAAAAATTTTTATGGATGCCTTTTGGTTTTGTTTTAGGTTTTTTAAGCCAAACTCCAGATACTGAAAGAATAAAGTTATGTAGGTATTTCTTTGCTTAACTTCAGTGAAAAAAGAAGTGGGAAAAAATTATGGAAGTAATTTAGTTACATTAAAATTATTTTCTTCATTATCACAATTATTTAAAAAAAAAAAGACAATTTAAATGCTCACACAATAATTTATTTTAGTCTTGAATGAAACTTTATATAAAGCTACAGTTTCATTTTATAGAAATAAATAAAGACTTATAGCTACATTTTAAGATGGAAAGGAGAAAAAAAAATTTAACTTAAAATTTCCAATAACTTCAAATGAAAATATAACTTTACAGTTATAAAGTGTGATTTTCTATTTTAGAATTTCATAATGTGAATAACACATAGCTGCCAAACATGGATAAGAAAAAATCCAATAGATTTTACAAAATGATATAAATTTCATCACAAAATTGTTGCATAATGCACTAAATATTCTACACATAGAGAATTTTAGGGATTTTTATAGTTATGAAAATAGAAAAACTACAATATTTTCTAGTTATGATTGACATTAAACATATTTGTAATGTCATGCTTTATGTTTACTAATAATTTTGAATATTAATAGGCATCAAAGAGAATTTAAAGATTTTATTATTAGTTTAAAAAGTGAGTTCTGAACTGCTGAATATTTTTGAGCGAAAACAGTTTTCAGCTGATTTCTATAAATGAGGTTCGCTTCATTATGTATCATACTCATTTAAATATTAAAAAAAAAGCAATAATCTGTACAAAAATTTGATTTCAATAGGGATTTTTTTTAGGAAACTCACTCAATTTTAGGAAATTTTCTAAAATGTACAAAAACCTGTAGAATTTCAATTAAACCAGTAGGCCAGGAGAAACTTGCAAAATCTAGTAGAATTGGCAGCTATGATAATGTATAATTGTGAAATTACAAACAACTAAAGTAGAATTAAAGATTACTAGAGTAATGACTTATATAAAGTATTTTTTAAAAACTAACCAGTTCAACTGAAATTTTGATAAAACTGATTCATTTCTAAAGAAAATTTAGAAAGAAATTTAAAATTAATACTTGAAAATTATTTAAATATAAATGTAATCAAAAAGCTTTTTGTATATAAAAGAGGAAAAAATATCAATAAAAGTTTAGCATTTAAAAATCATTTCAAGTGTATTCAATTATTCTAAGTAATAATCAAGTTTATTCAATTATTATTTCAAGTTCAAGTTTCAAAATTATACAAGTTATAATTAAAATTATTTATATTATAAATTTGATATATCCATTCATAAAAATCAGCTTCACACAAAGTATAACATGGAGTAAGAAGGAGGAAAATGGATGGTAGCAGAATTCGATAAAGTAAATTTATTTAGTATTTGTGTAATACTAAATAAATAAATAGTGAGCAAAAGACATTATAAAATTTTTGTTCTATATTTCAGTTCTTCACAACAACACAAAAAATTAAGTAAAATTATATAATCGAATTATTCTACTATTATCCAAATTTCCCCCTTGCTTATTCCAAACATAAAAACCAATGCAAGGTAATAACAGAATCTAATATTATGCAGTATCAAAACTAACTTAAAAAATTATTTACAGTAAATGCTAGATATTATTTTGTATAGAATTTAATGTTATATAATGCAGAAAAAACGACCTTTTTATCTTTCTAATATTTTAAAGTTGTGCAAATACGGTCAAATTCAAACCTTGCAGTAAAAGCATAAAATATATTAAATATAGTACTTCACAATGGCTGAAAACAGATTACTCACAATTATTGAGAGTTTTATTTTACACACAATCAATGAAAATATCAACACTATTTTTTCTCTCCATAAGTTGGAGGATTCGAAAAAGACTTATGGTATGTCAAAAATTATGGTATATCAAATTAATACTTCATGTCTTGATTACATGAATTAGTATTCAACAATAAAACTATCATTATTTTTTTAATCTCAATAACAGATTTAATCACTGATTTTCAAATTTCTGAATCACACCTTAAAAAAAAAGGTTTATGACTTACTGATATTAAATGCTTTGCAAGACACTAATAACCCTTCTTATTAAAAAATTATGCAATGTATAAAGAAGTGAAAAAAAACGAAATTTTAAATTGTTTCCTAAAAGTTTAATAGTTTGTATCAAGGCAAAATTGAATCAAATATAGTAAAATTAAATAAATGTGTACTGAAATTGATGTAAATCAGAATTAAGTGAAGTTGTTAGCCCTGTGGCAGAATTTTTTCTGACTTTCTGCAACATGCCTCTCTAATGCTATTATCTTTCAGTAAGATACTTTTAAAAGTAACAAATATACATGTTAAAAATTAATTTAAAGTAACAAAAACGTCCACTCAATTAAAAAAAAAATTTTTTTTTGGTTAAAATAAAATGATATAACTTTTTTAATCAAATATGTAATATTTTTCTTTTATTCTTATATAATCACCGATATTCTCGTATTTTGTTGGGGTAAAAAAAAAATTCCTTTTTTGCATTTTGTAAACCATCATCACATTAAAAAAATTTTTTAAAAAAATCTTAAAATCCGTAGCAGTAACCACCGAAAAAAAGGTGAAATCACATGAGTCAGACTCTTCTAAAAGGTGTTACTAAATGCGTGTTTTAATTTCAAGATTCAGTTGTTGTAATAAATAATATCAAATTAAAAATATAGATTTAATACTAGATAAAATAAAATAAAAAATGGAACGAAAATTTCGGCAGAAAAGAAAGCCAAAATTTGTTTACTTCACAAAGGAAAAATCTTTCTACAAGAACTTAGTACCGTTCTGTGACAATGTCGCCATGATTCTGCCACAGGGTATGTCAGTTAATCAAAATAATAATAATAAAAAGTACCATAGTAACAATAAATAATAGTACTGTATTATAATATAAATGACTTCTTGCATGCATGGGGAAAATGAACTCACCCATCTGAAACCCATTTATAAGCTTTACTACCAGGTTCATGACGTTTTGAATAAACTTCAACTTTATCAGCTATCATAAAAGTTGAATAAAATCCAACTCCAAACTGACCGATAATCTTGTTCACTGCACAACTTGTTGAATCCGTTCTTTTCACTTCTTCTAAAAATGCCTATCGGAGAAGAAAAATAAATGCTTAGAAATTATGTCGTACACACAATTTCAAATACTTATAATTATAAATCAGTATGTGTGTCTAAGAGAGTAAGTATTTTATAATTCCAGAATTGTTTGAGCTAGAGCCTAAAATTTAGACAATGGGCACGGGATTAAATATGGTCCAAAATTTCAATTGATCCAGATGGGTTAGTTGTTAGAAAAAATAAATGTTTTCAATGAGTTTAACAATAGCAATAGTTAAGAAAACTGTGGAAAATTTATGTGTTAATTGCATTATTGTGACTTTGTCACAAAATTAGCATTCCTAAAGCTATTTCAAACCAGGTATTCATTTTGTTTATAACACTATTGTAACGTATTTCTATTAATCTTAATAATATAAAATGAACAGCAACTAATATGGAAATAAAACAGTAATTGGAAAAATTAAAGAAGAAAATTGCTCTATATGGTGAATTTTGATTATCTCCAGTTGGCTGCGATCAAAAGCAGCATTTTTGGTGCTGGTTAAAGATTAATACTAAACACAGTTGAACATTAATTTGATGAGGTAAACATTATTTGTGACAACTTGTTTTTCTAAAACTAATGATGTAAAGTTACCAGGAAAAGTGCGCATGCATGCACACACACATTAAAATATAAAAATAAAATAATATAAAATTAAAATAATATAAAATAAAATAATTAATAATATAAAATTAAAATATAAAAATTCTAATTACTACAGATTTATTGTATCAGTATATGTCTTTCAGTTATATACAACATTTCAAAACATTGGTTTATTGATTACTTTTTACTAGCTAAATACCATTTCTTGAAAGGAATTTAAAAAGTAATTATCAGGGTCGATGATTGATTATTTAATCAATTTAGCGATTATTTTTTTCCTAGCTGAATACCTATTTTGAAAGGTGTTGAAAAAGTAAATAATCAATAAATTAGCACTAATCAACAGGATAAAATCATTTATAAACTAAAACGCATATGCAGGGTGCGAAGCCAGATTTATCAAAAAAGAAATAAGCACTCAAAAAATATTTTTAACCACTTTCCAAAAAAAAATTTTAATTAGGATATGCGCAGTAAAAAAAATTATTTTTTTCTTTTGCTTAAAGTTCTTAACTTATAAACATAAAATCAATAAAATTCAAAAAACTTTTGAAAGCCTTTACATAATAATGATAAAATAACTAGTTTCTGATAAATATTGCAGAGAAAATTGTGAATATCATACATTTTTTGTAATTTAGAACGACAATCGACACGACAAAAAAAAAGTATCTTTTTAAATGACAGAAAATTGAGCACTTTTAACAAACCACAAATAAAAAAAGCACCTTGGCTCTGAAAAACTTAAATAAAAAATAAGCATCTTCGAGCACTTTTTAAAAAAGTTACACACCCTGATATACTGAAAAAATTAATAAAATTATAATAATCTAAATTGTATTTATTATTAGCTGCCATTCTTGATGATTTTAGGTTATTAAATAAAAGAAAGCAAGATTCTTGAAGCAAGATAAAGAAAAGCAAAGGTTCATCTTATTGAAATAATGCTTAACTGTATAATATAATATCATTTAGCATGATATTAGCAGACTCGTGACAATAAAAATTTACCATTTAGAATCAAAAGATTTTCTTTTAGAATAACTAATTTGATAACATAGCTCTCACATGCCATCCATGTTGATCATTGAGCTTAGAATAAATAAAAAAAAATTAAATATTAAACAATGTGTAATGAACTCCATTTTTAATTAAATAGAGCTGTGAGCTACTAAACATCATGGATATTATCTTTTAAATAATTGAAAGAAGAAAAAAAACTTCTACAGTAAAATTTATAACAGCGCCTGATGTTAAACCTATGCCAAAAATTCAATATACAAATATTTCTTTAGGAAAAACTGCCACAAGAACCAGCTAACCAAGTTTAAAGATTCAAGCACAAATGGTTCTGGAGTAATAAAAGAAACAAAGAAACTGTTCCTTTTATTAACATAGATTTTTTTATCTTTTACAAAGAACAGATATTCAACCAGTTATAATCCATTATAGATTTCAATGTTGCATTGGTATCAAGAGTATTATGAGAAATATTTTTGAGTGCCTCAGGCACAAGTTACATAATATTGCAACATAAGTTACATAAAAACTAGAGACAGAACAATGTTAAGATACTTTTTTTTTCATTTCCATCAAATGAGCTAAATACATTCATTTATCAGGGTGTTTAGCCAAATCTCTCAACAAAAAAATAAGCACCTTTTAAATACTTTTTAAGCACTCAAAAAATAATTTTAAACACTATATACATTAACAAAATGCAAAATAATTTTCAAAGACTCTACATGGTCATGATAAAATAACTAGTTTCTGACAAAGAACTCTTTTCTTGATTATATCAGACATTATAAAATGATCAAGACATTTTTCAGTTCGATATCAGAGTCCAATAAGGTGGAAAGTGAAGCCTGAAATTGAGAAGATCTTGCAAAATGCAGCAGAGTTGCACACGAGAGTGCAATAATTTCACCAAACACAGTTTGGTAGACTCACATGCAGACTCGCACAGTATTTCATCAAATATGTAAAATAATAGACGCTTTCATAAGCTATGGACCGACGGTATGCCAAAATAGATTTTGGTTGAATGAATCGTGAAAAGGTTGAATTCAAAAATCGACATGGTAAAGAAAAATTATCACATTTTCATAAAGGGAAAATTAAGCATTTTTAAAAAACATTCAATGAAAAAAAGCACCATTAAGGGCTTTTAAAAAACGAAAATAGAAAATAAGGACTTTTTAAAAATGCTAAACACCATATTTACTTTAAAGTAAATAGAATTAAGAACATTCTAACCTTAGATCCTGATCTGGCAATAGTACCAAGGCTACTGATCATTTCTTCTCTTGTCATTCCAATGCCAGTATCCTGCAAAATTTATTTCCTATTTAGTACAAATAATTGTTCATAATTGAAAAAAAAATTATTAGAAAATAACAGTACACAGAAAATAGCGTTTATTAAATTTTTAAAAAAAATAGAATTTACAGGAAACAGCTTGTGATGATAAATTAGAGAATTCTTGAAAAAGCACAAAATTTTTGAGAACATCTAAAGTCTTTTGCTATATATGAAAGTGAAAACCATTATGAACTTTTAACCATCTACAAGAAACTCTTAATTCTGAGAAGTGGAAATTAAGTCGAACAGGTTTCTATTCTTTTATTCATACAAAAATATAGTTTTAAACTAAATGAATTAAAAGGAAAAAGTAGTCAACTAATGTTTCTGGTCAACTTAAAAGTTTTCATCTGCGATTTTAAAAAATTAATGAATAAAAAATACATAAAAAATTTTCTGAAATGATATGATTTAATGACAGTTAAAAAATACAAAGTTCGAAGAAAAGACAGGAACCTCTTAAGAATTAAATTGAATTGAATGTAGGATTTAATGGCACAAAGTCCAAAAGAGGACATGCTGCGCCAAACAATATGATAAAATAGATCATAACTAAAATGCATACTCTTTAATTGTCGTGAAATCCAATTTGATAAAATGGTAATAAGTGCAGGGTTGCCACAGTAAAAAATGAACAAAAATAGTCGCTTTTAGTAGCCTTAAGCATGAAAATAGTTGCCTAAAACTTGAAAAATAGTTGCCTGAACAGGAGCTAAAATTTATCAAAAATAGTAGCCAAATAATTAAAATTGTAGCTTAATTGTCAAATACTATGATAAGGACTGGTTGATGTCAGAAATTTTAAATCAAGATACATCGCCCATTAGACATCGCGATTTAGCATATGTTCAGAAATTACCTATGGGAAATCAATCAAAAATAAATGAAAAGGAATAAATCTATTACAAAAGAAAATATTAATTCTAAACATATTCTACTATAATATCAATATCATTGCTTAATTTTTTCAATTAAAATAATAAAGAAGTCAAAGCAAACCCAAGATTTATTTCATTTTTCTTAAATTAAAAATGATTTAAGATCTATTGGTTTAAAAATAATAATACTGTAACAAAATATTTTACATACAAGCATTAAAATTAAAAGAAAAAAGAAAGAAAGTAGAAACAAACCAAAGAAATGTTCACTTTAGAAAAAAAATTATTTTTTTCAAGTTACTTGTTGGAAAAAAAACCATGCTTTTGAAACATCATTAGACCCTCTTTTATTCAATTATTTAAAATAATATAAAGTAGTATTAACTAATGGTCAAATTCTGTACTATTCTGTACAAATTCTGTACTCTAAAGACTTATTTCTTTAAAAATGACACTGACTATCTACCAAATTATAAAACAAACAAGTATTGAAAGAATTTTAATAAAATTTAAAAAAAAAATACTTTAAGTACTAATGTTAAATTATTAAAAAGCGTCCAAACATCACTAAACTCTTTATTTAATTTTTTTTTAAATTTTGTTTTTTAACTAATAGCCAAATTTTTTTAAAACTTTGTTTTCAGTTTCTCAAAAATAAAAGCAAATTAAATAAAGGTAAGCTTTATTTGAATTTTTTAATAAATAAAAACAACTGAACATTTATTGGTTTAAAAATAATCAAATTATTATACCTACCTACATTAAATAAATTTGAAAAATAACTTTTTATAACAAAATTAAGTACAAAATACCCCTATAAAATTGTATCGCTTAAAATGAAAAATAATAATTGAAAAAAACCAATGAAGAAACTTTTTTAATTTATATTTTCTTTCCATTAATCTATTGAATTCAGAACGAAAGTTTAAGATAAGAGCGATTGTGCAGCAATCGCAAAGTAACAGTAGGTCTACAAAAAATAAGTATAAGTATAAAAATAACTTCGCTAAGAGTAAATAAGTCTCCCAATAGTCGCCTATTCCTGAAAATAGTTGCCTTTTTAGCCTTTTCAGGCCTAAGGCTGAAAATAGTAGCAAATAGTCGCATTTTAGTAGCCTGTGGCAACCCTGTAAGTGAATAAACACGAACCTCTTAAGATATGTTATACAAACCGCTTAAAACACCATATAAAAACAAAAACAAATACTTCCACGAGATACTACAAGTGCGCTTCAACAAAAGGAAAAAAAGAACTTTTCATCATTAGGTAGTTACAAATACTACCTGATGATAATATTTTCTGATGTTGGAAGTTTATTAATAATTCAGAAACACTTAGTTGCCTTTTTATGCATACTGTAACTTAAGTATAAATCAATATTCAATTGTTCAATGTATTAAAATTTTACTTATGTTAGAAGAACACTTATTTTTGTAGTATGTAGTCTAAGTAAAATTTCATTATATGTAATTTAGTGCTTGAATACATTAATAGGAAAATGTATACTATTAGTAAAAGATATTCTTGAAGCAAAATTTTTAAAAATAAAAATTATTATTTTAACACAGTGTATCTGATCAAAATTCTTACTTGAATTGTGAAAATTCTATTTTGTTTATCAGTTGCAATATGAATTTCCTTCGATGCATCAGAAGATACTCCACTGCTTAGTTCAGCATGTCTTAACTTTTCCAGTGCATCACTGCAATTTGAAATTAACTCACGAACAAACACCTAATAAGAAACACAAATGTAAATTAGATAAAAAAAATTAAAAAAAAGAAATATCAGAAAATGTCATTTCAAACATATTTTTTATTAAAAAATAAAATTAAAAAGCTCAAAATGTTTGCATAATAAGTGAAAGAAACCTGAAAGGACCTATAAAAAGACAAGATTAAATTTTTTATTAGATTCAAAAATTTTAAAGATAGGCTTTTTCTCTAGGCTCTATTTAGAGGAATCAAAAATATATCAAAAAAAATAATTTTTTTTAAATGTCTTTTTAAAGGATTTCGTTTGGTGGAAAAGGATCTTTTTCATATTTTTTTAAATATTTTTTAAGAAATTAAAACGGAAAAAATTATTCTATCTTTTCCTGACCAAAAAACAACCTGACTAAAAACTTTAGAAAAACATGGAAATAATTTTGGTGGAGGTGATAAAAGTATATTACCAAAGTGATGTGCCATATGTTCTTAATCTTTTGGTCTGCAAAAATATAACTAGTCACATTTTTAGTCCACTTGGAAAAAGAATTTTTAATATGCTTTATACTTTCCATTTCTTACATTCTAATCTGTAATTTTGTTTGCACTAATAAGTGGTCAAAAATTTGATTAAATATAAATTTCGATAAAAATTTTTTTTTCTCTTTAAATATATTAAGGTTGTGATAGTCAGGACGTGTCTGAACAAAAACATAAGAATTTAAAAGCAATTCCCGCAGCAGAAATGTGGCAACACGGAGACATTGTCGCAGAACATTACCGAGTTCTTGCAGAAGGATTTTTCCATTAAGAAATGAAAAATTTTGCTTTTCTTTTCTGCAGAAATTTTCGAAAGATTTTATCTTTTCTTCAAAATTATATTTAAAAGATGCCTTTCTGGTCCATCGAAATGGGGGGGGGAAATGCTTGTGACATTTCTATTCAAATTGGAGAATAATGAGAAGGGGGGAAAAAAACAATGAAGTAAAAAATTTGGTTTTCTTTTTTGTGGAAATTTTCTTTCTAATTTTTCATGCAGTTATTTCCATATAGCTTTTAAAATCTGATATTATTTATCACAACAACTAAACCTCGAAATGAAAACACGCATTTAGTAACCCCTTTCTGAAGGAAAGTAACCCTTATCTTTTTTTTCCACGCCATTACTGCTACAGATTTTACGATCATATTTTTTTAATGTGATGATGAATTATAAAATGCGAAAAAGGAAATAATTAGTGTGTAATCTAAAAAGGAAAATAATTAGTGTGTTATCTTTCTACAAAATGCAAGAATATCGCCCATAATATTAGAATAAAAAAATCACTTATTCACTTTAAGAAAAATTATTTATTTGATCCAATTTTTATTTATTTGTTTACTTAATTTAATTTTTTATTGAAGGTAACGTTTCTATTACTTTAAATTTGTAACCTGTATATTTGTTTTTAAACATCTTGTAGAAAGATATTAGTATTAGAGAGGTATGTCACAAAAGCAGGAAAATATTCTGCCACAAGGAAAGCAATTGTTTTGATAGTTTGGTTACATTTGATTTGTGAGGTTTACATATCTCTCACAGCAATAGAGAATAAAACAAAAATAGTGTTGGCACAGTATAAAAGTGCTCTCTAATAAAAATATTTCTAATTTGAAAAAAATTTTATTCAGTATACATTCTGCAATTCGAAAAGATTTTCCAAAAGAATATGACTAAGCTTGAGATAAGAAGGCATTTAAATTTTTTTAAAGTTTAACAGCAGACAAATAAGTTTAGATAGAATCTCATAAGATAGAACTATGTTTTTATTTTTTTATAAACAAATGCCTCTTTTATTTCATATGCATGAAAAAGTCTATATTACCTCTGTGTTATATCATTTGAAATATTTAGATATAACTATCAAGTTTAGCATAAATGATGTTACATTTTATTAAGTGATCCTTTAGTTTAAAATGTTCCGTGCCATCAGCAAAAAGTGTATCGATAGGTAGTGGTACTTACTTCGGGTTCTGAATACAGAGATTTTGCAACAATTTTAAGCAACATCTTAGTTTCTGCCTGGAACTCCAGTTTCTCACCTTCTCCTAAAACATAGTCAACAGAGAAACACTTTTAGTTTCTTAAAGATTGCCAACTATTCTAATAAAATAATTTTTCTTTCAGCTAAATAAAATAATTTTAATAAAAAGTTTTAAAAAATGCACAAGTTTAAAAATGCCTTAAGGTGGTTGTCCTAAAACCTAAAAAGACTATGTATTTATACCTTAAAAGCAATATTTACTAACAAATCATTATCATCATATCTGGCTAGACAGCCCAGGGTGGGCCAGTGCCTTCCTTGAATTCGAATCCACTTCTTTCTACTTTTGACACTTGTTCATATCATATAGACTTAATCATATAGACAAATCATAACATATAGACAAATCATAAGACAAATCATAACAAATATCATATAGACAAATCATAACAAATCATATAGACTTAAAAATTTTGTATAGTTTCCAAACTGTTAAAGTACAACAAAATGAAAGATTATATCAGTGTTAGATATAATAATGATAGTAAATAAATAGATATAATAAAGATAATAAATAAATAGAAACAATTATGATAATAAATAAATAAAAAAATCAGAGAATAATTTCCTCTATTCACTTTTGAGGAGTGAAATTTAAGATAGAGGAGTTAACAGAAATTAGGTGTACAAATTGTTACAATATCAATATATATGTATTCTAAATAACAAATTAATTATGCAAAGTAAACATTCTAAAATTCTTGGCAGATAAGACTATAAAAAATATTTCCAATTTTTTTCTTTTAAGCTGTAGGTTAAATCAATGTATATTAATAAAATGCAATGAATTTGATTTTTTTATATTTACAATCAATAATTTAACACATTTTTTTTCACACAATCTTTTCATACTACTTAAGATTTTGGGGAATATGTTTTAATTATGCTGTTGTTTTTATATTATTTAATTTTTTTTTCTTTATATTTTTTATCATCAACAATTTTTGATATGTGCATTTTTATTGGAGCCACTTTCATCACAAGCCAAAAACTGAAAAGATATATATCATTGTATAAATATCCTTATAAATATATACCAACTTAGATGACAATGAGAAGAGTTCCATATTGGTGCCTGCCAAAAATAGGCAATAAATTTTGACAACAAATGGTCAGTGGAACATAAAAAACTAAAAGAAAAAAATTGCCGATACGAAAATTTCTACGAAAAATAATGAAATTAACAAAAAAATAAGGAAATTAATAAAATGTTATTAACTTAATTATTAGTAACAAAAATTTTAGAGATAAGATAAAAATTAAGAGTTTTATGAAATCAATATTTAATAAATGTACATTTGATATTTGAATTTAAGAATCTGATTCAAGTATTCTAACATGAATTCTTTTGAAAAACTATGAGTATAAATTTTTTTAGAAATGCCAGTAAATAATCGTGAGTTGGAACTTCTGACAATAAGAACAATTTTGAACGTACCATGAGCTGTTTCTGTATCTTTAATAATTGTATGATAATCAGAATCTTCAGCTGCTGCTGCTTCTTTTGATAACAGTTGGCTGGAAGTGAACAAACATCGCTTTCCATGAATAGAGGGATTAACTACAATAGAGTAACATTTTTAAGTTTTTTTCTACAAATTAATTTACTTGCACTTATAAATTTTTAAATAAGATACAGGATATAAACTTTGAGGAGGAAACAACTGAATAAATTCAGCAAATCCAGTAACATTTTTGTTAATTATTATGAAAATAATTAGATACCGTCTTAATTGTGCAAAACATGACATTTAATATATAATTAATTACAAAAATTAATTTAATTCTTAATTTTGAAACTATTAGAATAGCATTGCTATCATATTATTAAAATTTTCAGTTAGTAGCCAGTGGTCGGTAGACTCTAACAACTTAATAATAGTCACTTTTTCTTAAAACCTAACGTGTTGGTGAGCAATATCGATAGGTTCTTTTAATTTAATAGCCACTTTTTAATTTCTTTTTGCTGAGATTAAGTTATATTAATTAACACTAGATTGCCCAAGGAAGTCATTTTGACTGCTTTTTTATTTCAATTAGAAAAACAATGAAGTATATAATGACATAATTTCTTAGAATTTTGTGACTTTTTATATAATATAAAAAAAATATTAAAAGTTAATTTTAAACAAATTTCTTTAGTCATTAGTTATTCCTTCACAATCCAGTCATTTCGACTACTTATGGGCAATATAGGTATATACAGTACAGAACCCGTTATCCGGAAATCAGAAAACTGGAAAACCAAAAAACTGGAACGAAATTCGATAAATTTTCCCCCCATTTTTTAAAAAAAAAATTTTTTTCCTCATGAGATTTTAGGATTTTTCGTTCTTTTTTGAAAGATGTTTACCTTACCATCATTTTGGAAATAATCATTAGTGTATTACTTCATCGTTTTTTCCTCTTTTTAAGATTATTTCCAAATTTTTTTTTTTTTAGTGGGGTTTAACAATAAAAAAACGGCTTTTTGTAGCGATTCAGAAAACCGGAAAAATCAGTTATCCGGAATAGCGATGGTCCCGATCGTTCCGGATAATCGGTTCCCTACTGTACTAAGTTTCAGTCTTTCTAGCATTAAAAAATATCCTATTAGAATAATCTACAGTTATTAAGTTAATTTAACGATAAAATTAATTAAATTTTATCGTGACAAAACTCTGCATACTGACTGCAAAGAAACTTATTTAAAAATATTTAAGGAGGGTGAAATATATTTATACAGTACCACTTAGAAATATGTGAAGTGTTAAAAAACTTTCCTTCCAGATGAATCTTTATCTCAAATTGGATGCAAAAGGATTAAAATTTTGAATGGAAGCAGACATTTTAATGAAAATTCTGTTTCCTGCATTCATGTACTTTCATCATTAAAAATTTTCAAAAAACAAACAAACAAAAAACACATAAATTACTAAAAATAGGAAAGTTTGTGCAATTTAAGTCTACACTTCTTTTTTGTTGACATGCCACTTTACAAGTGGTTATTTTCAGATCTACATGTTATTACATAAAACTTGAAAGTGAATGCTAGAACTTTGTAAGGAATAGAAAATTGTAAGAAAATTGCAGGTTCTTTCTCTGTTGATGCAGCTAATAATAATTTTGCAAGTGAAAAGAAAAATTAGGGAAGTTAATTTCGTTGCCCAAGTTACTGAAATCGAGAAAGAAACAGACAATGTGCATGTTGTTCTTGTAAAACGGTCATGTAGATTGAAAACCTTCAAATATAACTACCAAGATGTAGCTTGGGTTGATATGTTAGATATCATAGCAGTTCTACCAACTCCAACCTTAAACAACCAAAGTGTCAATTTTGACAGTGATATTTCCCTGTCAAATTTATAAGACGTCCCCTGTAATTACATTTCATGTCCTCTCTATTACATTTCATGTCCTTCCGGTAACATTGCATTATTTAGACTTAATAAAAATTAGTTTGCGATTTAAAAATTCTCGTAATAATTTATTTTACCTAGAAATGTGATAATTTTTAAAAAAAATTACAAATAATGCTTAGGATGATCCAAATCACAAAATTTAGCATAAAAGTGCCCTTCAAAAATGTGTGATTTTATTTGTCCTCTCTTTTACAAGCATTTTTAATTTAATTGCAATTAAATTATGAGGCTCTTTTATTATTTTATACCAATGAATTAAACATTGCACCTTTAAGAAGCATATAATTGCAAAAAAATTTTTATAGATATATTTTTTTGAATAAAATACTTGTGTGATCGCCCTCTATTACATTTGGAATTCAACAGAAAATAAATAATAATGCAAACTAATAGCAGATTGGAATGCACTCCAGATGCATTTGCATATGAGAGCCAAGAAGTCCAGGTCTTTTTGTTTTGAGAAAGCTGTTGTTCTCTGTCTCTAAAGACACGGCCACATGCAGATACAATTAATTTTTAAATTATATTGATTTCAATAAACAAAATATTTAAATAAGAATATTATTAATTTAATAAACTCGCTCAAGTCTAAAAAATTTATATCTCAAAACATACTTCACTTTAAAATAAAAAGAAAGTAAAAAGATCTGACCGAGTAATAAATTAAATAAGAAGTTGCATGCTAACCATTTGGAGAAAGTCTAGCAATAAATTTAATACGGTTCGAGACCATACGAGACCGTGTTATACGTAAAGAAATTAAGGCTAGTCTACTTGAAAAAGCCATTGAATTTTAAATTAATATAATTAAATATATCAAGAAATAAATATCACCCTCGCCGGTTTATTACGACATTGATTTTCAGGTCTTTCTTTTTGCATCATCCAAACCTGTAATTTTGTGCTGCTATAACTCAAGTCTAGCTTTAAGCTTACATGCACTCTAAGCATTTGTAAATTAATGTTGCTTAGCAGCCGCTAAAAATAATTAAATACAAATGTTTTACTGACGTAGAATGAAAAATTATGTTTCCCTTTCTGGTACTAATATTTCATTTTATTTTTTAACCGTCGTTGAACAGCCAATCCAATAGTGGGTTTACGACTACTAATGTTCAACTTCGTATCTTTGTAATTTTGAACCAATCCAGAAGACACGGAAACTTCTGGATTAGCACCCCAGAGGTATGATTTGTTATGGGAACATGGAGGATTTAGTGACTCGAAAGATTTAACTTACTTCATGCAGCATCTACTACACGGAGAAACATCGGCAGGTGGGGATTGAACCCACACCCTCTTGGACATGGGCCCAATGCCAGGGGCCCCCACCAGGAGGGGGGAGGTGGGCGCACGATGCTCCCACTTAAAGCTTCGGGGAGAATTTAACGAATTATTTAACAAATCTCTTTAACCATAGTTCATAATGTAATGAGAACAGCAAAAAATAGTAATTGTAAAACGATTAATAAGATCAGACACCGATTTAAATAGCTTTATCTTAAAATGTAGCATAGAATTACAATATTCCAATAATAATAAAATCCAAAGCTCTTAATTTAGAAATCAAACATAATAAAAAACGAAATAACAGTACAAGTAATTTTAACCTTTTGGTTAGGGATACAAAAATAGTTATAGGTAACTTAGTGACTTCAATTTTATGTTGATGACAAACCAATATGAAAATTAATGAGAGAAAATTGGATCATAATAAAATACATTCAACCTATAGGACCACAATGTGTATCCCTAATAAGCCTATAATTCTTTCTTCTGGTGGGGTACAATAGTACCCGGTAATATAATAAGTGCACTTATTGTAGGTCAATATTAAGGGAAGTTATAGGATCATATTGTAATACAGAATATTGACATTAAAACTTTCATTTAATTCACCGGATTTTTTTTTTCGAGTGCTGTATTTTAAGCATATCAATTATTTAATGTGAACCGTCAATCAATTTTGGCAAGTTTATATCACTTTCGCAGGTCACCATTGAAGGGCTTTAATATCGACTACATCAACCTTCATCTATCGAAAGGTATCTCAAGATAGAATCAAGTTAACATGTCTTGTATACTAGTGAACTGGTATTTAGTATTTATAGTGGTTGTTACGCCACCGAGGCTTCAATGTTCAATTACCAAACAATCTTAATTGAGAACATAGGCCCCCATCCCCCCAAGCTCTTGGGCGCATTCATCCCTCCCCCCCCCAAAAAAAAAATTTGCTAACTTCCCCCTTCCATGTTAACTTGTTCGAAAAAGTTCTACTTTGCTTGCTCATAATATGACAATAATGCTCCTTTTATTTATGAAATTTAAAAAAAAATTCTCTCGTCTAAATTCCCCCCCAAACTATTTGTTCTATTTAGTGTGAAAATTCCCCTCCCTCCAAGCTTTAAGTAGGCGCATCGTGCGCTTACCTTCCCCCCTGATGGGGGCCCCTGGTCTGAGAAACATCCACGAGGATGATACGAAGACATGCCATCGCAATTTTAATCCTCTGCAGAGGGGATGGCTAACCTGATTTGGTAGACCGACGACCTAAGCTCGACGTCGAATGCTTTACTGTAGAACAGTTTTACGAGGACCGATACCGCTCACCTTCGGTCCCTACTGAGACTAATCAAAGTAATGATCCACCCGCTGACTGACCACAGCCAGTTTTGCTTGACTTCGGTGTTCTATTGGGGCCGTGTCTGTACTATCAGTCCAATGCGGGACACAGGTGGCATAGAGCAGCACTCTTTACCTATGGCAATAATTCGCCAATAGCGTATGGAGAGTCATACGAGAAGGAAATCCGTTGGTTTCTGTCTTAATTTTCAAAAAGATTAAAAACTTAGAAGTTTGGAAGCTATATGGAAATAAAAACTACATTGTTACAAAACTACTAAAACTACAAAACTACTACTAATTCTAAAAGAAAGGGTCTTGGAAATTTGAAGAAATATTTTTGACAAAAATATACGAAAAATGTGGATAGTTGATCGTGTAAAGCTAAGCACAGATAGCGCTAGTGATTAAAATTCGTCGTAAGTATGCCGGGTTACTAATATCGATTGATTTTTACGCCTAAAATTTCAAGAAACGCACCATCCAATGTACATTATAAAGTGTTCTTTCAATTTAAATTTGAACGAAACAAACAACAAATGAATTTGGAAAATTCTACTAGCAAGCTATGATACCATTGCGATATTAAAAATAACATTACAGTGATATTGTACACTTCTTTTTCTTTGTCTGCATGACAGCCCCTTGCAGGCCTTGTCTGTCGCAACAGCTGACAAACGCCAGCGATTCATATCTCTGACAACCTCCCGTCGAAATTTTAATCTTTAGGGTTTTCAGGTCATTTTCGATGTCGTTGAGGATATAATATAAAATAGCAAATAAGGGATAACAATCAAATCATGGCAAACCCTACCCTTTATTTATGTTGCGATATCATTGTTCTTAAATTTGTTTAAAGTTCACGACCTGCTAGAATTTATAAGTTGCAGAAAACTGTTATGAATGGTAAAATTATTAAGAGTACATTTAAACACAAATCACAACAATAAAACTTCTAAGAATATTAAGCTTGTTCACACATCACCTCGTAAGCATAACATCAGAGGAGGAACTTATCGAAAATGATACTATGTCTACTACTATATCTACATAGGCACATAGCTTTAATTTGATAGTTCTTTTTCAATCGGACATATTTTTCATCCTTTTATTAAGAAAATTATTATAAAAAAATAATCTGATGAACACAACAAAAATAATATTTATAATAGACTGATTAAAAAATAAGTCTAGATCTGAGCCAAATTTATTTCAATTTACAGCTAAATTCATTTGATATCGTATTTAAGTACTTATTTATTAATTTTCAGTTTAGATTTTAATTTCTGATAAATACTTTCATTGTTAATAATATATATTTTAATTCAGAATAGATTTTAATTATTTATACATTATATTTCAAATAATTATTTTATTTTATTTAAATTTAAATGTTTTAATTACTTGATAAAGCATTTTCATAACATTGATGAAAATACTTATACTTGACAAAACAATTATACTACATTGTATTGTGGTATTGACTTAGAACACAAGAAAAGTTTATTTTTATTGCTGCGATAGAAGAGAAAACTTTATTTTTAATTTTATAAGTTCAGAGCTACCACTAATTTTTAGTGAAAACATTATATAAGAATATAAGAATATAGTTTTAAAATCTATTTTATATTTTATAACCGTCGTTGAACAGCCGACCCAATTTTTTTGGGTTTACGACTACTAATGTTCAACTCCGTATCCTTGTAATTTTGAACCAATCCAGAAGAGTAGGAAACTCCTGGATCAGTACCCCCGGAGATATTATTTGTTATATGAACACAGAGGACTTTGTGATCCGACTGATTTAACGTACATCAGTCACCATTTACTACACGGGGAGTCTTCGCCCGGCTGGGGTCGAGCCAATGACCTCATGGACGTGGATCCAGTGCCCTACCAACCCAGCTATCCCGGCCTATTCTATTTGTAAAATTTATTTAATTTACTTTTATAGGAGTCGTTGAACAGCCGACCCAATTTTTGGGTTTACGACTACTAATGTTCAACTCTGTAGCCTTTTAATTTTGAGACCGATATAGAAGACCCGGAAACTTCTGTATCAAGTATTGGGAGAAATTTTGCCTTCGTAGAGGAATTTTTTTATGGAACTAACCCGCATTTGCGTTACATGGAGAGGAAGACCAAGAGAACCTCCCACTGTTAGCCTGACTGCAAGAGAACTCCAACCCATGATCTGTCTGCCACTGAGGATATTTCACGTCAGCATTGTGGTTGGTGCAAGCCGGATGCGGAATTCGTATCGACCAGCCATTGCGGAATCGAATCCCGGTTCAAATCATTGGAAGACGAACGCTCTATCCCCTGAGCCATCGCGGCTCATGGATCAAGTATTGAAAGAAATTTGCCTTCGTGGAGGACTTCTTAATGAAACTAACCAGCATTTCCGTTACATCCCATCAGCAAAAACATAGTTTGAAATGGCCGAGTATGAAAATTATAAGTTAATATTAAAGGGACTTACACGGGGTGTTTCGTATGCGTAGCGTCGGAACCGAAATTTATCCGTTCTTAGCAATTATTTACTCTTTTCAAGAGAAAAATTGTTATTTTTTTATATAAAGCACTTCATTCACCTAATTATTTTATTTTATATTATTTCTTTAACTACTTTTTCAAAATTTTAAAGTAAATAAACTGTTCTATACATGAAAAGAGTTATTTTCCTCGATTAGAGTTATTATTCAAACTCGGAACGAAATTAGAGTTAAATGTAACGAACAATTGTATCCTTTTTTATGCACGAAAATGGGCCAAATTAGGTTTTGTTGACTAACCGGGAGTAGGTGTATTAAGCTAAATATTCTCGAGGCTGGCATGTGAAGCGTGGCGCAGTTGGTAGTGCTGTGTGCAAGATTGATGTGAAGTCCCGGAGGTCCTGGGTTCGAAACCCTGTGAGATTTCGATTTTAAATTTTTTTTATTTATTATATTATTTTCTTAAAAATACTTTTCGATATTATAACGCGAATCAAGTGTTCTGTATATAAAAATAACTATTTTTTCTTTGGGAAATAGCGAAAAATAGCTAATAAACGAATAAATTTGGGTAAATTTTTATTTCTTCATTTATTTCATTTTATGTTATTTTTTAAACTTTTTTTTCAATATTTTAAAGTGAATAAAGTGTTCTAAATATGAAAAGAATTATTTTTCTTTGTTAAGGAACGAATAATGGCTGAAAAAGGGAAAAAAGTCATATCAGGAGGAACGCAAACATCACACCCCGTAACTCCCTATAATATTAACCTACAAATTT